GTGCAGCAGAGATGAAACAAAGAGCTCTGTCACGAAGTTCTATCGAGACATCAAACATCAAACGAGACGTCAGCTTCTTGTAATTATCGTCTGTAATCTCCTCGTGTTCACTCCTCCAGCGTTTCTTGTTGTCCCGTAACTCCAATCTGGGATTTGTTGCCCTGTAATCTGATTGTTTTACCTCCAAACTGTAGTTTGGATTTTCTTCTGAATTTGAAAAAAGATTGACAGCACAAAAATAAGACAAACAGCTGAAAGTTTTTAGTTTGCCAGCATATCTGCTTCCAACACCGCATGGACGCAGAAGAAAGACGCAACCAGACAGAGAAATATAATTTCATAAATTATATATAATATATATATATACAAACTACTTGGTATTTGCAGGCCGCTTCTTCTCACACATATTTCACCAACGCATGAAGTCCAAGCTGGACAGGAAGTAGAGAGAGGAAACTTAGGAAAGAACAGGAAATAATGCTAAAGGTGAGGAATGTTCTCCTGCCTCGCTCATGGCTGCCCATTGAGAGAACACACACACACACACACACACACACACACACAACAGTTGGATCTAACAAAAGGTCGGTGAAAACAGGAAGTAGTATAGAAGAAACATTTCCAGGTCGAGACAACAAAACATCCCTAAACATTCTTTCCCTTCCAGAAATACAGTATATTGGAAAAATCAATCACTTAAAAACACCCCAAAAAAAGACAAAAATACCCGCTGACAAAGGAGGTGGAAGGTCACACATGTGTACCAGAGTTCCTCATGCAATATTTAAAAAATAGAAACGATGAAGCAGTAGAAATAAAATAGGAGTAGAAGAGACATTCCCACGTAGCAGGATGGTCGGAGCGGCGGCCATTTTTATGTGCACCGTTGCCATTAATGTCGTTTTGAATGAACGTTTTGCATCAACGACTAAAAGGAGCAGCGTAGTAGTAACGTTAAGAAGCGTAGAGAGCGGAGTAAATCTGTAAAATTAGCATTGATTTTGTGTAGCATTAAAGCATGGTGGAATTAACAAGCTAGCTAGCTCATTCCACCATGCTTTAATGCTACACCGACGTGGTTGTCACCATAACAAAAACGGCGACCGTTCTACTTCTATTTTATTTCTATGTACAGTATTATTGACGTACAATAATGTGACGTTACGTGGTTAAATTATGTTTGGAGGTGTTTCTGGGTAATGAACTGGTGCTCCTGCGTTGGCGTTTGCTTGAAACCACACTTCTTAAATGATCCTTTGTTTATGTTTTCTTGTTATTGGGTTCTTTACGTTAGTGGACGTCTTAAGTAGGAGGAAAATAAAACAAGTTAACAGCAGTGTGGGATATTTTTTATCATCAGTCTGCTCGTTAAAATGCCCGCGAAGCATCACGACTGATATAAAAGTCAAATGGGACCAAACACACTGCCTGGAAGGCCAGTAAATTCCTGTGGTTTGCCAAATTTAGCCTGCATGCCTGCTCTTCTTACAGCGGTGCAAGGACAATGCAGCAAGTCTGAATTAAGATATTATATTTAAAGAATAAACAATAAAGTGAGAAACGAACAAAAAACAGAGTGTGTGAAAATGGTTTTAACATCCTTCTAGGAGTCAAAGAACATGAGAATCAAATGTTTTATATTTCCGGTGTTGCACAACTCCTTATTAACGTCATGGAAAACCTGTCAGATACAATACAGCCCTTTATAAATCCAATACAAGCCTCCGTATCGAAGCAGAAAAGCACCATTTTCCAACCCCGAAAGTGGAGCAAATCGTCATCTCTCCTCGCCAACTCTCCTCATTTCCTTCCTCTGCATTTACATCATGTAATTAAATCCACTATGTACATTTTCCTCGCCTGCTCTCTCCGTTGGAAAAGCTCATTTATTCACCAATGCGCCCGCAGTAAAACCCTGTACGGGGGGGGGGGGAACCCCGGTGAGTAATTTCCTGATGCTTCCAAGACGAGCTGCGGCGTAAGAAATCCATGTCGCTGCTCTCCATCTCAGTTTAGGTTAAGTGAGTTTTAATTGAGCTTAGAATAACAGAAAAGGCACAAATGAATTTCTCACACTCATTAAAATACATGTCGACATGCATGCAGCCACATATAAAAACATATATGCAGAAGGAGTCCACGCAACGTGGCGCAAATGTTGACAGATGTTTGGCGGGCAGCCATCTTGGAAGACCAGGTAGTCGTGGTGGAGTAAGAGGGCACCAAATGAGCAGCGCAGAAAGAGACTACTTTTTAGAAATAAGGGGTTCCAAAGGGTTCCCCTTCTACCCAGAACCACTGGCTTACATTGAAAATGACTTGTAGAATGTTGCTGTTTCGCTCGTAGTGTGAACACGGCAACAGGGTTTTTCAAGGGTTCTTTGTAAGAGTAAGGGTTCCATCAAGAACCCTTTTTGGAAGAAAGAGTTCCTCAAGGATTGTTCACAACATGGGTGTTAAAAGATCCTCACAGCGCACAAACAACAAAACCTTGTACGTGAACTGAATTTGTTGTGGGTTGAGCTGCACCACATCAGCCCTGGTCTTCTAGGAGCCTCATGAGGAACCCTGGTTTGGTTCTAGAGGAAACCTTTGGAATATAAAAGGATTCTCTTTTTTTAATTCCTTCTTTGTCTAACATGTTCCTGACATGTAATACAATGACGGTATTTCTGCCTCCATCACACACACACACACACCAGATTTTTACACTCCCAATAATAACGACCCACTGAGTCAGAAAAAGAACCAGCGGTCCATCGGTTCACATGCCATCACCGTACCAACGGCCCCCTTGTGTTGTTAAAAGACAAGGGACTAAGGCTCCTTTTCCACTGTTAAAACTATACGAGCAGAGCCAGAACTCCTACAGTACCTTCCAGAGGGTTCCTCGTTCCTACAGTAATGACTGAAACTGGCACAGGGAGTCGGGGTCACGGGTCCCGCCCAATACCGAAGCCGTGATTGGCCATTGGTAACGCGTCAATCGAAGTGGGTTTAATTCATGTGTGCGGTGGCCACGGTTAGAGCGCTCCTGCCAAAATACAAGTACCAGCTCTCTATACTGGCACACAGAGAGTAATATACGCACACGATCCATATTAAACACACTGATTCAGTCACACACACATTAAAGGTAATCACAGTGGAATGAATGTCATTTTAACGAGGCCGTTTTGTTGCTAGAGTGCTTTTAGTGTTAAGTGTGTTAGATGCAGCATCATGGGAATTCTCATAAATCTGCATTTATAAATACAAACAAATATATATATATATATATATATATATATATATATATATATCCTATACCAACAGAAAATATGTGCAAACACGTCTACATACTGTTATTATACTCTACATAATAATGATGTGTAGAAAGGAAACTCTAATCTGAGAGGAACAAGTGTTACTTTTACATGTGGAGCACATGTGGATAATGATGCACACATGTCCACACACACACACACACACACACACACACACACACACACACATGCAGAACATACCAGACACTGACACACACATGGTGGATTTAACCGGGTGGCATCGCTCATGACCGGTTGCATTCCTAAAACCATGTTTGTCTGAGTCTGTGTGAATGAACCTATACTGTGTGTGTGTGTGTGTGTGTGTGTGTGTGTGTGTGTGTGTGTGAATATGCGTGTGCGTGAATGTGCGTGTGTGTGTGGGCCTACTGCTCCACAAACAGGAGCAGAAAAAAAAACAGCAACGCTCCGACTGCTGGATCTGGTTTCAAAGACGGCAGAACAAGACGTTCTGCAGCCAAACAGCTGTCTGGAGCTGTCCAGAGACGACAGAGCAGTGATTCTAACACCAGGGACATCTCACTGGGGGGGGGGGGGGGGGGGGGGGGGGGGGGGGTGACAAGAGAAGCTGCATAGTAAAACATTATTTACACCTTTACTATAAAATGGGTGCTGCATTCCCACCTTCAACAACAACAACACAAGGTAGACAAGAGTCTTTAGTTCATTAATTCCCAGATAGAGAGAGACGAGAAAGTGCTGAAGTGTAAATGTTTTAAACGTGCGCTGATACGCTGCTCCGTCTGATCTGCCGCGGTTACACCCGGCTCCTTCTAATCCACTCTCTACTGGGGGAAATATTCACGCTGCCATTCGTTCTGCTTCCTGAGTATCATATTTATTTACATCATCGATGGATCCGCTCAGAGTGACTCTTCATGCTCTTTTAGGGTCTTTCAGCTGTTGTTACTGCTCACAGCTTCACTGATGATTAAAGCTAATCATAGATCCACATAGTGGAGCATTTAGCAGCTAAAGAGACGGATATTTATCTCAATAGTTGGCCAAAACCAAGGCTGCATCCACACAAATATGGTTTTAAAACGTGTGTTAGGGGATCTAAAAAGCCAGAGCAGAGCGGACGCTCGGCATAAACGTAGCAAAAGTTTTGCGTTTTAAAACACGAAATGTATTAATGTGGGTGGAGCCCAACACAAAGCTATAACAGAGTAAATATTGGACTTAAATTCACTGGTTAGCGAGAAACACAACTTTTTCTTAATAAGCAACTGTTTGCTAACAAGTTCTCTATAACTTTATAAACTTTCCAAGGTGATAAAATGTTCATTTTGTTTCCACAAAGTCTTTAAAAACAACAACGTTAATGCAGCTTTAAAACCACACAGATTTGACATTTTCCTCACTTAATATGTGACTGAACTACGGCAATAAGTTTGTATTTATAGTTTACAAAAGTGAGAATTAATTAGAAAAATACTGGAATTTTCCTTAAATGATCATAAATATTCTGCACTTGTTGACTCCTTTGAGGTTTAAATTCTATTCCAAAAGATTATTACTACCACACACACACACACACAGACACACACACACACACGCACACACACAGACACACACACACAGACACAGACACAGACACAGACGTCCGCTCCTCTTCACTTCCTGTGATGTGTTTTGTGTGTTTTTTTGCGTGTCAGGCTCGCAACAGAGTCTGACCTCCTTCTCGTCTCCTCCCTCACCTTCCTTCCCCGATTCAACGCCAAGACGTCTTTAAGTGTCGGCACGAAAGTCACGAACAACAAATGCTGAAATGTTCCTTTTGAAGTCATTGTGAAGGATCTGTGTGTGTGTGTGTGTGTGTGTTTACCTCCTGACGGCGAGCTTCAGTATCCGGTAGGATCCCTTGATGAGGATGAGGGCTTCCTGTCTGCTGCCGTAGAGCGCCGACCCGTTGATGTTGATGAGCTCGTCGCCCACTTTCAGCTTCGTGCACAGGGCGGCCTTCCCTCCATCCTCGATCTGCAGACAAAGAACCGGTTTGAGAGATGAGACAAGAAACAGAAGCACATTCAGATTAAGAGAAGAGAAAGTTACAGAAGTCACTTCAGGATACGACCACGCTGCCAAAGTTAACTTCTGGGGACATTTTCTGTGAGGCTGTCTCTGTCACCATGGCATCTCCAAAACATCCCGCAGAACCATCACATTCCTCTGTAACAGACCGTGTGTGTGTGTGTGTGTGTGTGAAGCCCGAGTTGTTAACGCATCGCTGGGATGTTTCAGTGCAGCAAACGGGTGAAACACTGAGTGAGTTGTGAGGTTCGAGTGCAGTCGTAAATCACAAGAAACGGACGTGAAGAATACAAAATGACGGGAACACACACACACACACACACACACACACACACAGACACACACACACACACACACACACAGACACACACACACACACAGATGAACCTGAGTGGAATGGCTTCATGGTTGTATCAGTCCGTAAAGTTACTATAAAGCACTTGTATTTTGTGTTGTTTCTGGCGGCCCCTGTGGACTGAAGCGGTAGTGTTTCCTCTCAGTTTATTATTATTTATCAGAGCCAAAATAGTTTGGAATCCGTGCACATTATTTTCACACTGGTATGACAAAATACCCAATTAAAAAAAAACCTCAAATATTGAAGTTAATGCATTATATACGGTAGACTTAATATGTTTAGATTTTAGTGTTTTTATGTTTGAGGGACCAACACCGCATGAAATGAAATGGATTTAACAAAACTTTTTTGTGGCGCCTATAAAGCAGAAATTAAAGCAGCAACACATTTATATACGAGTACAGCACAATGTCAACATCTTGTGCAGTTATTTAAATAACTCAAAGAGCTAAGAATGTAAAAAAAGACATTTTTAGAGAAGCTTTGACTGATTTTGGAATGATTTGGTGTGACGGAGAAGGCTGGATAACATGATTACTGTGGTTTTATTCTCCAGATTTCACACCCAACAAACAGCAAACAGGATCCTATTCAAGATTCTGTTTCTTCAGCATCTCTTTCAGATATCAGAGCCAGGTGAATGCCACCATTGACCCGGTTAACGCAGTTTAAAGACGCCTCGGGGGCTTATATATATATATATATATATATAAAAATAAAGGAACAGATTCCTGATTACGGAGTGTAAAAATGTAGAGCAGACGTGCTGCTCCCGCCATCATTCACTCTCTCTCTGCAGAAATCAAAGGAAGGCCCGGTCATGGAAACACGGGTCTGATTTTACGCTGGCAGGGTTTTTACAGACGCCGGCGGGGAGCTTTGCCTTCAGACCATCAATCACATTCTAACTTCTGATGCCGTCACGAAGTCTGACTTGTAAAAGGTTCGTGTTTTATCTCTGATGCTGCTGTAAGAGCACCAGAAGAAGATTTAAACCGGGCAGCTTCACGGCTTCGTTTAAAGACTCATCTCTTCTCATAATCTGGCAAAGAAGAAACAAGAGAAACAGAGGAACAAAATAAACCTTTTTACACACACACACACACACACACACACACACACACACACACACACACAAGGGAAGAGGAAAGGGGGGAAAAGAGACGATGAAGAAGGTGAGGAAAAGTAAGAAGAAAACTATGAAGAGAGGATAAAACACAAGGAAAGAGGGAAGGGAAGAAGGGAGGGTGATGAAGATGAGGAGAAAAAGATGTGGAAGGAAAGGAGAGGAAGAGATGGTTTTTATATCCTCAACCCAGCGAGCAGCTGTGCCGTCACTCATGAAGTCATGAACCAGAGCTCACTGTTCTCACAACAGAAAGAAGAAGTTCAGATTCTAGGGTTTAGAAATGATCGTGTGACAAACTGCAAAGAGTTTAACACACTCAGCAAAGTGTGTGACCGTTAGAAGGTGTGTGTGTGTGTGTGTATGTGTGTGTGTGTGTGTGTGTGTGTGGGCCATGCTGCAGTGGGATGTCCAGACAGGGTGAGGTCACTCCAGGCACCGTGGAGACGAAGAAGAATGCCCTCTTTATGTGCCGAGACACACACACACACACGCACGCACACGCACACACACACACACACACACACACACACAGGTCCGACACACCCTTTTATTTTTAGATTCGAGGGGTGACTTCATGCTGTGTGTGTGTGTGTGTGTGTGTGTGTGTGGCACGGTGCTTATGATTGTGCACTAGGGAAAAAAAAACAGGATTCCCCATGCTGGTCACAGGTTGTCATCACTAGGCTATCACCTGACACACACACATACACACACACACACACACACACACCGAACAACAGCCTCTTTATCAAAAACTGAAACGATCCTTTCCAGCCTGAAAATCATTAACAGCGGGGTACAAAACGGTGTGTGTATGTATTTGTGTGTGTGTGTGTGTGTATATGTATTTGTGTGTGTGTGTGTGTACCACTGCAAGGCGGTTACCTAAACACGTGCATGTGAAACCTCTCATTACCAAAAGGTTGAGACTGAGAAAATTAAAAAAAGCTCTGGCAGTGAGCAGTTTGGGAAAAGTCATGTCATTTCTTTCACTGTGAAGATACACAATTTAAATCACATGGGTACACATTTGTACAACACACACACACACACACACACACACACACACACACACACACACACA